CGGTCGAATATGACTGGCAAATTCCATTCTGACTACACTGCACACTCAACAGCTGAACATCGCTCGTGACACATCCCATCCATCCATCTCTCCCGTTTCACCCATTGCCGCTCGATGACTCTTCCCGTCGGCCTCAGCCGTCTCACCCATACATTCTCGGCGACTCACTTCTTCTCAACCTCCTCCGTGATCTCTACCGGCCCGCCATGACCTGAGCATTTATCGACAACCTAACGATTGTTACCAGGTCAGCTCCTGTCTCGCACAGACGATTCTTCAAAGCGGAAGAGCCCTTACTTAAATAATTTCCTTGCCCGACTTCGTCCAGTTTATACAAGCATGCCCCGGGCAGCGGGTCGGGCATGTGATGATTGTACGTGAGCCTTCGCACTTGTACTCGCAGCCGTTGAAGATGACTTTGTGGACTCGGCACATGATGGTTTTAAAGGAGTTGCGTAGATGATGTGTGAGGCTTTAGATTTGATGCCTAGTGTGCTTGGGGGGATGTTGGATATTGTGCTGCTGATAATGGATTGCTGGTATGATGGATGTTGTTGTTTTGCTGCATGTATGATTTGTGTGTCAAAACAGAAGGAGATCGAAGGCTTTATACATTCATGCCGCTGTCACAGGAAAATGTTCGTTGGAATGCAGCTTCACGAATGGTTGATCGTGTCTTCATGATCGTTGATAATTGAAGCATCAAACATGGATATGTTGACATCTTGTGATTATTCCTGAGAACGCACGATGTGAACGCTCGGTTTGATCAAGTGGCGACCACAGCGACACTGTATTCCTAAGTTTCACACTTATTCCTGGAGGATACGTGGACGTGCAACATGAAGTAGACGCTCCAACGAGACTCATGTATTCGGCAAGGCCTTCACACAAAATAAGCTTCTTCGTACTCTCTTCGATCGCATATCCAAAGATCAAGCTGTCAGAACTTTATTACACCCTAAATTCAGTCGATCATCACAAGCAGACCATAGCAGAAGCATTTCGTACATCATTCATTCATTCATTGATACATCAATCAAACATGTCCTATGTCATCCGCCAAACAAATCGCGTTTCCATCTCGCTATCCTCCTGTCCTCTTGGTCGCTTCTCTCCTGAAGGAAAATGACGAAGGTCTCTCCTCAATCATCTGCAGGGGTTATTGCACTTCCCCGTGCTCCTTCTCGCCCTAAGAAAATTTGGCTCTGAGCACGCGAATCCGTTTCTCTTTCCCAGGCAGGATTTGACGAACTCGTTCTTGGAATGGCCACAGCCCATGTATAACACTGGTTCGTAGGTGCACATGGTGATGTTTTGTGGTTCGAGGAAGGGTTCTTTTGAGTACGGTGGTATGCGGAAGTGGTAGTTGAATTGGGGGGAATTTGTTGAGTGTTTTGGTTGGCTTTTGAAACTGGTAGTGTGGTTTTGGTAGTATTGCTTGCTGTGATCGCGGTAGTAGTGGTAGTGGTAGTTGTGGAGAAGCAAAAGAGCGTGGATTTGAGAGCTTATATACCGCATTCGAGTACTTCACCCTAGAAGAGAGTGTGCTGGCGGTGTCTACGTATACACCCGGGTTAGATTTGGTAGTTTGTGTATGCAGTTCTTTCAATATGTCTGCTCCTTGACGTGGTTTTGAAAATAGACCCAGTCGAATCTCAATCATGAAGTGCGGAAGATCAATCGCGTTGGTCCTGAGTTATAGCGGTACATCGACCGGAATAGGGATATTCTTGCGAGTCTTGTGTGCGTGGGTCGAACGCTGTCGTGACCGCTGGTGATGCGCGTGGCGGCTACGTAGGCCAAAATAGCTTCCAGTGACTTCAGCTTACGCGTTGTAGTTGCCAGGCTGAAGTTTGAGCTAAGCGTGCGACTCACAGGTCGAGCTCTCCAGCGCTAGATGATCATATGGTTCCCAAGCGTCGGATTACCCAAAACCCAATCCCACGACCGTCAGAAATCCATTCCAACCCGAAGTGCGTGTCGCAATGCAGCTCACCACAATGGCCTTCCGCCTCCCTCAGTAGCTCTATATTCTTGGTTTGCAAAATGGTTTCGCCGCCTCGCCTCTCATGTTCACCATGCCTGTCGAGATCTCTTCGAAAGCATTCGGTCGGAAGACGTAAATGCCTCGTCAACGATGAGAAGACGTGGATGTCGTTGATCTTGAGGTGTGGGCAGATAGGCCTGTCCCAGGCAGCGAGTGCCTCCTGGACGTCTTGCAGAGACAACAGAATGCCATCGGGGCGATACAAGAGATGGAAATGCGATACGGCTTTTGCGCGGTTGGGGCTCCGTTCTACTTCGATATAGGGAGGCATTACGCCCTGCTTTGCGTAACTGTGGCAGCTACATCGACATAGCCAAGGTCCATATCTGCTGTGAATGCTACCCAGTTGAGTCATGTGAAGGCCTTTTGCTCGCATAAGTGGAATAGCGCTTCGGAAGGGATGGGCTGGATTTCCTCATAGGGCGGCGGGTCTTCGTCGTTGGAGGAATCCGAAAGGGTTGATATCATGCTCATCGGTCGAGGAACAAAAGCGTGCTGCGGTGCAGGGTTGGGTAGCAGCACTTCTCCATGATTCTGTGACTGCTCACTTGGTCCTATACGGAAGTACCGGCGTAGGTCTTCCATGTGGTTGCTGATGTTGATATTTATGTGCGGAGAATAAACGGCGTCGATGATGAGCTAAAAGTCAGTGAGTCCCTAGCATATCTTTGTAGTGGGAAAATGATTAGCAAAGGTTAGCGTTCAATCTACCATGGTTCATGCTCGATGAGATTTGTGTGTAAGCTCGGATTCGAGCGACTGGGTTCGTAGCCAGAATGCGTATCATTCGCGATCGTGTCCTTGTTCCGGTAGCACTTGCATTGCGGCGGCTGTGAGTGGCCACTCTATCATGGGTTGGAGCGGGACCATTGTTCGAGTTCCATTTGAGAGCAATTTTCGCAAACGTGCTGGTATGATGAAGATCTAGATGTGCGACAGACTGAACACGAACAGATGGAAAGAAAACGCGTTGTGCGACTGGGGTTGTTGTGTGATGGATTGAGGAGACGAGAAGGTGCGACATCTCGATGGGCGGAAGGGAAGACTAGTCTCTTCTGGGGTGCGCTAGCCGTCATCTGGCCGATCATCTCCCGGCCACCGCACCTTTTTCCTTCCCATCAGACGAAATGTGTTCAAAACCACCTGGTGCAGGTGTTTAACGTGTTCCACATTCGCACCCACACAAGGAAGAACCTGAATAAGGCTGCAGCCTACATCAGGATGAGAACATGTGAATAGGTGACCCAACGCCAAGGTGGGCTGCACGCTCCTTCTCTCAGCTTAGTGCCTCTGCAACCAAGCCAAAACCTTCTCAGCGATCTCTAGACTGTTCCTCTCCATGAAGAACATATGTCCATTGCCATGAAAACCCTCGTTCCTCAACTTCATGTGCTCCACGTCAACACCTGCCTGCCGCATGTACTCTACGGTGCAATGATCGTACACCGCATGGTAGCTCGCCTCGGACGTCACTGTCAGCACCGGTATTTGTGCCAGATTTACCAGCTGCTTCGCCGGCTCATCCTGCATGATACATTCACTCGAGTTGACGTCTCTTGCAGGAACAACAACAGTCTGGATGTACGTCGCATTGGGTCCCGCCGACGGCTCGTAAGCCACTTCGAGCTCAGTGATGCCGAAAGGTCGCGCAGGACCTGATCCAAAGATTCTTCCGATGAATGGTGGGCCCGCGGGTTCGAGCGCGACGATGCTCTTGACTAGATGAGGGCGGAGGTCTCCGATTCGCCATCCATAGGCACCAGCCTGGCTATGCGCGATGATGTGCGACGGGCCGCCGATCTTGTCGAGAAGAGCTGTGTAGGCTTTGGCGTTCTCGGCTTCGGATATCAGATTGTCGGCCTGGTATTGGACTTGAGACGCATAGAAGGCGTCGAAGATCGGATCACCTGCTTTGCCAGTCCCGGGCCATTGGGTGTGCGACTGTGCTTGCGGCCAGAGGCTATGCGATGTCGTTGAAGTGAAGAGTTGCTCGATGAGAGCAGTACTGGAGCATTTCATCGTACCTGTATCCGGCAACCAGGGAGAACGACCGCGCGATGGCTGATCGCTCAGGTAGACAGTATAGCCGTGCGATAAGAAGAACGAAGCCCAGCCTGGCCGACCATCTGGTGTATCGAGAAAGGTTGTTCCAGTCTGACCAGTTCCGTGCATGAACACGAGGGGATAGTCTTGGGTTGGCTTTGCCGGGGTGAGCTTCTCGACATAGATCTGGTTAACCATGTACTGCGCAGTAGTATTTCCTATCTACACGGTCAGCATTCACTAGGAGTTTAGAACGAGAAAGCTAGCTTGTCCTCGAAAGATACTGCATCCGAATTTATACACGACACTTGTCTTGCAGGAAGTCGCAGTAAGATGCAGCATATGCCTCCAGGGTGTAGTGTATCTAGTTGGGAGGAAAGAGCGCGGTGGCGAATTTCGCGTGACTTACTGACAGGTTCTGATACTCCCCGCCAACGTAGAAGAACTCCCGCTGCGGTGGTAGCACCTGGCCAAATCCATTGATCCAGCTGTTGACGCCGAGCAAAGGTGCCAACCAGGAAGTCACGTTGCTAAAGAATAGCATCGCAAGGTTGGTAACCTACTGAAGGAGGTGCTGTTAGCTACGGAATAGCTGCAATTATTGTGGAAGAGTGAGAGCGATGAATGGATGTTCAGGTTGACGTGGTGGTGGCTTGGCAGCTTACATGCGCCTTCCCTAACAGTCATAGGTCGACCGAGTCTTTGGACTCAGCTGCGTGGGACGAAGAAGTCGTGAGCCGAGTAACGAGGGAAGGAACATACTGGCAACCTCCATAAAAACGCATCGTAGGCATGTTTGCACTTCTTCTGTAGCAACGAACGTCTTCTCAACCTTCTCGCAGTCTCCTCGCCTTTTTTTCTTCGACGTCTTTTCGTTTTTCATACTACGTAGCGCTCAAACATCAAAATGGGCAGCGTCTGGGTCTTCGGGATCCTGGTGGTGCTGTCGCTTCGGCTGGGCGCCTACATGTACTTCCAGCGGCAACGAAATGCGCGCGAAAAGCGCATTTTGGAGATCGCGAAGGAGGCACGCGCCTTCCATGACGGCTATGTGAGCCGTGAGGAATACGAGGACCTCCTCGCTGCCTACAACGTAAGTAATGGACGGAAACTTTCGAAATAGCATGGCGCTGACTACTTTAGGCCCTCAAGGATGACAAGCCCCCGCAATAGTGCAGCGAGATGCACTTCGCGTCGCCACGTGAGTCCGCGTGTCATGACGTCATCACCCGCATTGCACCCACACCAACCTAACGCGCTTTCTCAGCACACTCTCAGCGCTTCACCCTCCTTAATTCATTAACCCATGTCAGTCGCTCACTATCTTCGCAGCCTCAGACCAAACCTCCCCACCCCATGGCGCGCATACTCCTCACTTAACCGCTCTATCCCCTTCAACTTCTTCGCCGGCTACACCGTCGCAAACATGTCCTCCGCAACCTTCCCCGCAACCCCATATGCCCCAACATACGATAATTGGCCGTATACCGACTCGGACTTCGTGCGATACGACGAGAACGACGATAGCGTATTTTACCGACAGCCCAGACTAGTCACGCATATTGACGACCCATCGATAGCGCGATTGACACACTACTACGATACTGTATTACCGAAGACAGGAAAGATTATGGATATGTGCACGAGTTGGAAGTCGTTCTACCCATCGTCCATGAAAGAAGCGATTCAGAAGGGAGATTTGGAAGTTTATGGTGTGGGACTCAATGAGGAGGAAATGGCAGTCAATGGCGTGTTTCAAGGCCCCGACCGCTGGCGTGTGCTCGATCTGAACAAACCGCCACACGATGTACGCACAGCATGGGAAGACGGCCAGGCTCTACAATTCGACGCAACGACGTGCGTTGTCAGTATCGACTACCTCAACAACCCGCTCGAAGTCTGCAAGAAGCTTTTGGAAGCCACAAAGGAGGGTGGGAGCGTTCATCTCGCTATCAGCAATCGGTGCTTCCCGAACAAAGTGGTCAGAAGGTGGATGATGCTGGACGAGCGCTCGCGACTGGAGTTTGTTGGCGATTATTTGCATTTTGCGGGGTGGAAGAACGTCCAGATTGTAGATCTTTGCGCGAGGGATGAGAATGGCATGCGCGTTACTGATGATCAAGGAACGGTGCTTGTGAGATCGCAGCGACTTCCAGATCATTTGGACCCATTGTGGGTCGTGCGCGCGACGAAGGGGTCATAGGATTGCACGTCAACTTAGGAAAAATTGAACAGGTCTGCAGACTACATCAACATGGACACATGCAAAACAGGTGACCTCACGTCGATATAGGCTCTAGGCCCATTTGAAGAAATTATGTTACGGGGTGATCGGGGTTCCAGAGATGCCATCGGTTGCGTGGGGTCTTCAATATTAGTGGATTCTAGGAGTGGGCCTCTCTCTTCAGGTGTGTTACCGTAGGTAACGGCAAGCTTCTTGAACTTATGTCTTTCTCAACTTCGTTTATGCATCTTAATTGAGCACCGCGTTATCAATGTCGTCGTCTACCTCGCATATGTGTTCTGCAACCTTTGACTCTCACGGCATCATCAGCGCCTCGCTGCAGGTACGGGTCGGCTATTCCGAGCATCGGAACTGGTATCCCGAGCTTGCGGGGTATCTCCATCCACCTCCATAAAACAACTGAAACAACCATGAACGATCTTCACATATCTACGCCTAAGCTTCAAGATGATAGCTATTCTCACAACTGCTAGACTGGTATTCAAGGACTCAGCTGCCCGGCAAAGGGCCATCGACGCATTCCACAAGATCATCGAGTTCACAACACCTCACGAGCCGGAGGTGTTGCAGTATGTTTGCGCATTACCGGTGGATGACAGCCTGGGGACTGAGATATATATGATTGAAGAGTATGTTCATAACTCTGATGGATCATCATGTCGCTGACCGTGCTAGATACGCAAACCAAGCAGCAAGTGACGCGCACCTGACTACCAAGCCTGTACAAGATCTCATACAACTCTTCACCACCGGAGATGTCCTTGCTCTGCCACCAGAAGTCCATAACTGCCCGATTATCACCAGGAAAACATCATCACCAGTACCGATCTCATCAAGTCCGGCCATTGTTCTCATGAACATTCCCTCCAAACCGGACGCATCCTCCACCAAAGAGGCCGAAAAGTGGAGCGAGCTGTCGCAGATCGTGATGAAGAGTGCGAAAGGCGTAAAATCATTTACAGTCGTCGCAGACAGAGAAGTAAAGAGCACGCGTGTGGAATGCGTACTGCAGAGTTGGGATTCGTTCGCTGCATTCCAGGAGTTCATGGTCGATGGGCGGAGAGATGGGGCGGGTTTGATGAAGATCAGGCCAGTTGATGGCTTTGTTGGACGTGATAGTTCGAGCAAGTTGTGAGTGACAATGTAGAGAATGGCAACGATTCAAGAGCTTGTCGAAACTATCCACCCTGTTCATGAGTCCGACTCTTCGTCTGCGTGATCCACATGTCAAGCCAAAAATCCTGAACTGGCGATCCCACCTGACTAGCTCCGCGAGTCAAGCGTCGTTGCCCATATAAATGATGCCAGTAGTCGCCTAGATCTGCTCTCGTCGTGCCGTGTGTACCGTATCGTCGCGGGAGAATGTCGGCAAACCATCCGAACGAGCGATGAGGCTGGAATGAGGTGTTAGTGCGTGGAATTGGATAATCGCTGGACATCAAACACCGGCGAAAGCAGACTGACGCACTGCGGGATGTTGAAGATGTCTCCAGTGTTAACGCCAGCTAGCTATAATTCCAAGAGTCCTAAAACTTCTTCGTCTCCCCAATGCGACGCATGATCATCTGTTTGTTGGTGCAAGACGCTGGCGGCGAAAGCCAAAGTTCAACCCTTCGTGAGGCTCCGTTGTGTTCAACCCAGCAATGTAGTCGACGAGGACAGGTGTGACCGCGGTACATGCAGTACCCCGGGGAGCGTACAACCTCGGGCCAACTAATGTTATGATTGATGGTCTGACGTGCATAACCCGTCATCCTGGAAATGAGCCATCCTTTGTCTGGGACCGCCTAGTGCACGCTTAGTCCTGCGCGTCTTTTTATTGATATTGGTAGATTGGAATTCATGATCGGCCTTGGCGAATGTCCACCACTGGGGGGGAGATCGATATCTCCTGGATGAGGCGAGGAATTACTGGAACTAGCAGAGTCTTATAGGGAAATAGCAACATACCTTATTCCAACGAAGATCGTTCACTGTAAGTGTATCTTCTGGTCCACCATCGTAATCTCTGGTGCTAGCATTCAACTCCATGAGGAGACCTGCGTTAGGTGCCTCTTTTGCCTCCCCTTCACTTCTCATAATCCTCGATTCCTCAAGCTTCATCCGCAGCCACAGGCCTTTCTGGTTCCCTTCCGCTACTTGAGAGAGACACCATTTGTAGAGTTCGGCGGAATATCGTAGGCGTCCAGGTCCATGCCGAATGTTTGCAGCCATTAGCGTGTCATAGACGATGGATCGGTCGCAGCCAGCTTCGATAACAGCAAATCGCACTGTGTCCAGGTCGGCAGGTCGGCCTAGGCGTCGATTGTGGTTGAACAGCTCTACTGCCTCAAGATTGAGTTCTAGCATGGCATTCTTTCTTGCAGCGACAGCCGCGTGCGCAACTTCAGGGTTCGTCCAGTCGACAGTCATCGCTGTAATCCAGAGTAAGAATCGTAAGAACTCGACTTTGTCTTGGGTCCACGAGCCCGTGAATAGCTTCTTCGGTAGGCGTCCCTTCACAAAAGCGAGCCGAGGAAAATGACTTCTAGAGAAGACCATCTGTGTGGCATCTTGGAAGTCGGGCGGCCACTGCGCATCGAAGCAGCCTTCATCTGTCGTCAGGCCACAGAGACATCCTGCAGGTTCAAATCGTCGCACGACCCACGACTTGAAGAAATCCCACGTCATCCATCTGCTGGCGAATATGAAGGTTTGAGCCGCTGTCTGCTCGGCGCGCTTGCCTCGTACCTCAGTGAGGTAGTAGTCGCATGTTGAGTTGTAGATGTATTCGGATGACAGTCCTGCTGCGATGTGATGCGAAGCTTGAATGAGCGCGATGCTATGGTCGGCGGCGATGAAGATGGGTTGCAGAAGCTCGACGGGTAGACACTCGATCGGTGCGAGACTCATTTCGTGGATGAACAGCAGGATAGGTGAGGTGAAGGTGAGGATGAAGCAGTTGCTGATTTGGAAGAAGCTAAAAGTCACGAGGCTGGAGTTGTAAACGTGTTCCTGAAAGACGTCGACGCCGCATCGTGGACAACTCGGTGTTGCATTGGTCCGACTAGGCAGCGACCCCCGCATTTGCCCATTGAGGTATGCCGCTAATTACCCCACGCGGTGCTAGCGCGGTCGCGGGTGTCATCCGAGGCTCGCACCCTTCCATCGCAACATCACCACCTTCTTTGCGCTAACAACCTCCGAAATAGGCATACCAACACTGCGTCCCTGAACTACGCGGTACAGATGTTACGACAGCAGTTCCCGCTTCATTAGGCGCGATCACCGCAAAATCGAACTGCAATAATTAAACATTCACCACGATTGCGCGTTCGTGATACTGATGCTAGGTGCGCGTCGATCCTGACCTGAATTCACCTACTCGAAACTCTCAGTATGTCATGTACAGTAATGCGTGTCTTGAGATGATTCGCAGCCGGGCCATGTTCTCCAACATTGTGCAACCCTAGCCAGTAATTTCTCATATTCCACACTCTCCAAGGAGCACTCATATTGACAACCAAAGAGCTCGAAAGACGCATCTTTGTTCTAAGCCGACACGATGAGCAATGTCTGTCGATAGCGAATGAGATCAGATTTTCTGAAACCTAGCGACATTAGGGCGGGGTACTTTTCGGCATTACAGCGGGCCCAGTCATGCATCAGCTTCAACCTGTAAGATTCAACACGTCGCTGTCAATTCGCGGAGCTTCGGTATCTCCGTCCGTACCTCGCGCATTCTCGCTACGACATCACCGTCTGCATAAGCTAGAGCTTGGAACAGCTGTGAAAACACCATCTTTACACGATGGCTGATCTCGACCCAAGTATTTTGTTTAATGTGAAGGGGTTAGTGGCTGTAGTTACGGGCGGAGGAACAGGTAAGGAAGAGTTCTTTCCTATTTGTAGGGTTATTAATTCATGAATAGGCATCGGATTGATGATAGCGCAAGCACTCGAGGCGAATGGTGCGATCGTGTACATTCTAGGGCGCCGAGAGGAAGTACTGAAGCAGGCAGCCACTACGGCGGTATGTTCGTGGAACGGCGTACTAGACTATGCTAACACGTTATCTTAGAAACATGGAAACATACACTACTTCAAGACCGATGTGACATCCAAATCTGATCTCTCCGCAGCAGTCGACCACATCGCTACCAAATCCGGCTACGTCAATCTTGTTGTCGCAAACTCCGGCATTCAAGGTCCAACACTCAAAGGCTTGGATAAGGGTGCATCAATCACCGAATTCCGCGACCACCTATGGAACTGGGACATGGACGAGTTCACGCAAACCTTTGCTGTAAACACTACATCGGCTTTCTTCACGGTCGTTGCGTTTCTTGAGCTACTCGACAAAGGCAACAAAGCTGGTAACGTCGAGCAGAAGAGTCAGGTTATATGTATTAGCAGTGCGGGTGCTTTCAACCGCGTACCGATGGCGGGCTATGCGTATGCTGGCTCCAAATCGGCAGCGGTACATATCATGAAGGCTTTGGCGACGACATTGGTGCCGTATGATATCCGCTCCAATGTGCTAGCGCCTGGTTGTGAGTCGAAGCATCTCCTCCCTCATGCGTCTTTTGCTTACCAGCGTCCGACAGTATACCCCAGTGAGATGACCGCGGGCATGCTTAATCAGGAGACGTGGCCAAGGGACTTCATACCCGATCAAAGAGCTGGTAATGTCAAGGACATGGCTGGCGCGATACTGTTCCTCACTAGTAGAGCTGGAGGTTATGTGAACGGGAATGTTCTGCTCACAGACGGGGGGCGATTGAGCGTCTTGCCTGCGACTTACTGAGCTAGCCTTAATATTCAGCTTGGACAGGAAGAACGTAGTATGCCCCGCTGTAAAATACTCAAGCTTTGCCAACCGCAAGGGCCGGCGCGCAATGCTTATCATTCTGATTCCGCTTGTTATGACGTGTTAGTTCGCGATCGTGAACTCCTGGCTCAATTCGGTGGGTTTTGCTGGCTTGATCATGTTTTGTGGTGTGAGACGGTGGGTTCTGACGCGTATTTATCCGGTTATCCATGAAGAGCTTGTGCAAAGGCCGTCGATCACCAATGCCATCGAAGATGAAGAACACCGAGTCTCATTACCATTAACTAATGCTGCACCAACTATACTACCGTTACAACTCTTTGCCTTTGGTGTGGATAGGATAGGCCCATGGAATACGGCCTTGGATGCGGTCCTCGCCGAAGACGTAGTCCAACACCCTACTTTGCTTCATGCGTGGAGCCACAACATACTTCATCAAGAGCCACTGGAAAGCGTAAAGCGGATAGATGAATCTGCCCACAAACCAGTATATTGGGGTAGCCCAAGCGTGACTGCGAGTTGCGGCAGCCGAGACACCAAAGTCAAATGCAGTTGGCTCTTTCCGCGAAGACTGGTATTCCTGGAAGATCTGTTGGAGAGCGTCGAAGCTGATATCGGAGCCTGCACTTGACTTTGTCGCATTGTGTAGTAGGTTGCAAAGCAATGCGACGTCTTGAATGCCGTTCGTGAATCCCAGTCCTGCATTCGGTGTGAACTTGTGGCATGCGTCACCGGCGAGCACGACACGTCCCAAGCTCCAATGGTCCAGTACTCCTTCGTCTAGATTCGACATGCCCGCGGTCGAGCTATCGTAGATATCTTTGACCTTTAGATCGTCGTTGACGGGCCAGTCCGCGAAGCTAGCAGCGAACTCGTCCATCTCTTCCTTTGTATATCGCTTCGGCTCCTGAGTCGGTTCTGGCAGCTTTTCGTACAGCAACAACCAAGCGCGTTCACGGCCAGTAATCCACATGAGCGATCGGTCTTTCCCTTGTGTGTTGTTCCCCAGACCAGCTGCGCATGGCCGCGGTGTGTTGGACCATAGACAACGGTAGTGGGCGGAGAACGGCGGTTCCGGGTTGCGGCAGGCTGAGAAGCGGTCTTCTGCTGAGAGCTTGTGCATGATCTTGCGCGTTTGGCTGTGCACTCCATCAGCGCCAAGGACCATAGATCCGGTGAACGTTGTGCCGTTGGCGCAGGTGACTACGATGCCGGTCTCGGTTGTCGCAATGTCGACCACTTTCTGGCCGACATAGTATTTCTTTCTCGCTTCCTCGGGAAGGCCTTCTAGGAGAGCTTTTACGAGTTCGGCGCGATGGAATGCGATGGGCTCGAGGCCGAAGCTGTGCTGAGTCAGTGGGAGTTGAAGACGTGTTGGCTGTTGGCTAGGACTTACTTCTCCTTGACGATCTGGACGGATGTGCCATCTGCGAACTTCTTGCCGTCCTTTGTGAAAGATTTGTTGTTCAGCACTCTCTGTCCAATCGAAAGCAGCTTGTCAAGTAAACCGAGCTGTTGCATTATCCGCATTGCATGAGCTCCGAGAATGAGACTGGCGCCAACATCGACAATGACATCATCTCTTCGCTCAAGAACGACAAAGTCGATGTTGGCTAGGTGCAACGCATGAGCAGCTGTTAGCCCAGTAGGCCCGCCGCCAATCACAATGACTTTGAAGGGTTGGTTCGCCATACTGTGGACTGTGAGGATGGATGTCGTTTTCTCCACTTGGCCGACAAACTCTCAAACCCTATATATCTGTACATGCGACATTTAGATCGATTCAGGCGATGGTGGGTCATGGAACTGCCGATGCATACTTGACATGTACATAGCACATCGTGAGTAGATCTCGGGAACCGAAGTACACCCGATTGTGTGGATATCTACAACATGCTCGGCCGAGGACGTTGAGCACAGTCACAAAGAACTACCATCCTCCTTTTGAACGTGATGTTGAGGCTCAAACGCTTCGCTGCCGAAACAGTGTGACACTTGTATCATGCCATGAGAGGGCGGACGCGGATCGAAAACGCGTGCGATCCGTTGATGCTTGATGATTCGGGGTATCGCAAAACCTCATTCTCGCATGCGAGTGGCGACAGGGAGGCCAAAAAGACCGATGCGCATGATGTCGATGTTCAGGGCATGAGTTTCAGGCGTTCACTACAAAGAGTGAGAGTAAGGAGGGACTGTCGCGTGAGCATGTGAACGCCTAAGCTCGAGTGTCAGGCTGAGCAGCGATGCGACGCGACGCGACGACGATGCACACTGGACATGCTTTGAGATCGTAAGTGTGATGTAAAAACTGCATTTTGGTTTGCACGAGGCTGAAGGGCACAAGAAGTTTGTTTAGAATCTTTCTATGTGATCGTGATGATGTGGACACCCGCAGAAGATCGGAGGCGCTGCCGATGCCCGGCGCCAACGCTAGCGTGCCAAGCTTCGATCATCATCTCAAGCTTGATGGGATCTCTTTCTCCGCACCGCCCTCCACCCACGCGTCCCCAGAACAACAGCGCCAACTCCCCATTCGAGCGAAGAATCCTGAGAAACCAAGAGGCTATGTTGACGTTGGAATACCTACTTTGCATGTTTTCATCTCAATGTAGGCGGCAGACCCGTTTGGCCTTATCCTTTCAGATACCCTCCTTTATCCACCTCGTCGCCAACTCAAGACATACCCTAGCATCAAGCCAGGGTGCGGTCGCAAGTTCCCTCTGAAAGGATCCAAGGGCCTTTTCCGATATGTCAAACCAGAATTTCAAATTTGATACGCGAAGTACCGCAGCGCCGTTTGCGTCTTTGTAAAACTCGGCAGTCTCCATATCATCGAGTGCGCTGTTGTGGGCGATAGTTGCTACCGAACGTAGATCTTCTCCGCTTATCACCAGGCTTAGAAACAAGCCCTGCGCCACGACGTCTCTCCACAAGTACGCTGTGTCCAAGTACGGGACGAAATAGCCGATGTTGACATGAGGATGCTGCCGGCAGTATTCGGCCAGCTCGAACATGATATCTTTGGGTTCAAGCGATTGACTGAGCTCCGGCATCTGTCTATGAGTGCTTGTCCAGAGACTAATGTCACGAAAATATCCCCGTTTAGTCGCTGCGCAGTTCCGGATGAAAGTCAGGAAAAGTTGTCCAGGCCCGAATTTATCACTCCAGTGGGTCCTAAAGTGCACTCGATTGACTTGGAGCTCCAGTCCCGCGGTCTCCTTGTACAATTGGCGACAGGTCAATTTCAGCTGATTGAAGTGGTCTGAGCGGGAGAGTCCGTAGGGGATGAAGCGTGGGATGTTGTGGCCGTCAAATCCGTCGTCGCTAGACACACCCTCGTAGGACCTCACACCGCTGTCGAACTTCAAACCGTCGTCGTCGTCGGTCTGAAGTGCGTACTCGTATATGCGGTTGCGCAGCTCGCCAGGCAGTCGGAGGAGAGGGGATGTGCTGTCGGCGATGGTGGGACCTGCTGGGTCACACTGGTGCGCATTGTTTGGCGATGTTGAATGCATCTTTGAGCTTTACGATCTGTCAGCAATTGCGAAGTAGAAACGGGGTCTACGAGTGACTGACCTGGACGTGGTCTTGGAGCTTGATGAGAGCCTGGTGCGCTTCTCGCGGTACCAGCGACGCAGACGATGTCGAAGACGTCCCTTCATGTCGGCGGAGGGAGCGATACACTGGAGTTGAATACCCGGTGCGCGCGGATGTCGTTGTTTGGCAAAACCTCTGCGCGGGCTGGGGAGCGAATATTCTCGCCGTATCGGATCTTTCTCACCTTCACTTTGTGCACGGCCCACGCCCTCTAGCCCGCCTAGTGTGCCATCGGTGTCACAGTATTCCTCGCGGCCATCACCAGTATTGCATCCGACATAACCACTAACTGCAGCCCCGTACCGAACACTTCGCTCGCTGCGACTGACCATCGCACCTGGTGCTGCCAGCTATGCAGGCCGCCCAGCATGCGCCCGCGCACATGGTTTCGATTGCGGAGTATTGGAGATCATGTACATTGACTGGCCGCACCAGGACGCTGATAGACGCCTCTGCAACATACTGAATCCCCTACATTCGCTTATGTAATCATGTATTTTCGACGTATCATGAACTCTTGAGGCATTCATTTACTCGTAATCTTGCAAATGTCGCTCGGATTGACTGCGCATACCTCCAGGCTACAACGTGAGAGAGACGAAGTCATGTTTTCGCGAATACCCTGTTTTAGAGTCTCAACCTCTCAGAAAGCGAGAGCAGAGCAGAACACATGTCGGTTCACTCCGCGAATTTTGAGAAAAGGAAGAAGCGCACATGCCCATTTCGATGTGCATCTTTTTGACAGCACGGAGGCGACGTATGATCAAGAAGAGAAAAGCAGAAGGTACTGAGCTTTACATAGACGTCCAGGCGCGCCAAAGTCAAGCTTTGACTCTTCTCTTCTCATAAACTCGAGTTTCGACACTTTTGGAGAAGGAACAATCGACGCCGCCGAACAACGGTATCCAATTGTATTCGCGCGGATTTTGGAGAGGAGGAAGCACCGCACCCATCAAATTCCCTGCTATCAATTTCGGGAACAGATGGTGGCTGATAAAGTGGATGGGGTTTTCAGAGAAGCAGTCCACATGTCCTAGCGGCTAGACATCTTTGGAGTGTGCCGAATCGATCGAGATTGGAGAGCGAGCAGCCAAAGAAGAGCGACCATGTGCACGGTGCAATTTCACTTTTTGAAAGACCAGGGAAGAGCGCACATAGAATCCTACGATTAGGATTTTTGGAGAAAGAACCAGTGGGGTGTGATGAAGAAGGGGAAGCAGGCAGAAGAAGGTGTGTTTTATATCACATCGACACACTAGACCCGCTCTGGCTTAGCAGCTGGAGCACCGGCAGACAGCATGAGGTCTTCGACACGATGTTTTGGACGGCAGATTTTACTCCACAACCATGCCTTGGTCGTCATGATCTTTTGACAGAACAACCACATGTTTCGTTTTCGATTGGAGCTGTCGAGCCGCTGAAGCTGTTGCGCGTCGAATAGGGCGGAATATAGCAGTCATGCGATCCTCTTCCAAGTATTTTGTAGCACATGCGAAGCTGTTGCTGCATTTTGGACCCCATGCAGCAGTATCGATCTCGATTTTGAAGACATGTGACGTTGAACGGAGGAGCATAAAACATACCTCAGTCCAAGGAACATTTTGAATGCGAAAGGGCGGAAGAGACGGCGAACATGCCGATGTTCACAGTGCTTTTTGGAAAAGAACCATGGATTTGATGAAGGAAGGAAGAGAGGGGTCGGAAGGTGGTTTATATACACCGGGGCGGCTTAGTGTCGGCTTTAGGCTCGGGTGGGGAGATGGTAATGTGGAGGAAGGCGGAAAAGGTCGCTCATGTGCCTTGAAGGAGAGAAAGCTATAAAGTCGGAAGAGTTTATACGTCCAAATGCTCGTTCCAAAATAGGCCCAGGCAGATACATGGGTTGCAAAACGAGCCAAGAGCGCGGAGACATGGTGTTGTAGGCGGTGGGCTTTAGTTTACATGTCACTTGGATTTCTCATGTGACTAGTCTCAGCGCTCTTGAAGTGCTGTTTTTGAAAGAAAGGCTGCGGACAAGTACATGTAGATCGTTTGCCTTTTTGAGGAGTTTATACCCTGGCGAGGAGAGGAGGAACAGCAGTCATCGCCCGAACGTGAATGGATTTTGGAGGACAAGCCATTGTCGCAAACATGGCTGTGTTTTGGAAAAAGGCCTTTTGGAAGATAATAGGGGAGAGATGGAGAGCGGGCAAGAGTCGTCGATTTATACATCTTCTCAGCGCTAAAGATCAGATGACTGACGTATACAACCCCGCCATCAACAGATCCACACAAGCCCTCACGCCTCAATCACCTCTTTCAGCGCTTTCGCACTGCTTTCCAACTTCGCCTTCTCCTCTGAATCCAACGGCATCTGCACCGCCCTCACCACTCCTTTCCTGCCCAGCACAACCGGCATACTCAAACATACCTCCAAATCTTCCTGATACGTACTAACCGGCCTCACAATTTTCTCATCGAAGATGATGGATTTACATATCGATGCTGCAACGCCGCCGATGCCGTAGTTCGTCGCACCCTTGTTCTCGATGATGGAAGTGGCTTTGTTCTTCGTCTCCTCCGCGATGCCGTTCTTGTCCAACGCGCCTGATTGCTTGGAAGATAACGCAGAAGACAACGGGACGCCGCCGATGGAAGCAAGACTCCAGGCAACAAACTGACTCTCACCATGCTCCCCCAAGACGTACGCTTCGATGCTAGACGCGGCGACTTCAGCCTTGGAAGCGAGAATACCGCGGAGGCGCGCAGAGTCGAGGAAGGTACCGCTGCCGATGACCTGGGATTTAGGGAGACCAGAGTATTGTTGGGCAAAGTAGGTGAGTACGTCGACGGGGTTGGCGACCAACAACAGTACAGTATCCTCGCGAAACGGCTTCATATCTGATATTGCGGACTCAAGAATGGACTTATTGCGGCCGATTAGATCCGTTCTGCTCTCGCCCTTCTTCTGCTTCGCACCGGCAGCGATGACGACGATATCGCACTGTCCGGCTTCTTTGTGCGTGCCTGCTCTTATCCTAGTACTGGTGTTGCCGTGGAAGGTCGCATCGGAAAGGTCAGCAACTTGAGCGTCTCGCACTTCTTCCTTGGGATCGACAAGCAGGATGTCACCGGCGACGGGGTTCATGATGAGGCTGTATGCGATTGTGGCGCCTACATCGCCGGCGCCGAGGATGGCGATGGAGGAGGTGTTCTTCGGGTCTGACATGCTGGGTGGTAGGTTATGGGATTGTAGAACAATTGACTGAAATGGAGAGGTGGGGGGGAGTTGGTAGTTGACGGGGATATTCGGTGGGTTCAGAGTTCTTTCTTCTTCTGTAATCTGGTAGTACAAGATATTGAAGTACGTCATCGTGGTGGCGCTAGTGCGAAAGCAGCCCGTAGACGGCCGGCCTATCGATACGCTGGTGAGGAAGTCGCGATGGTGGATTACCTGAACATGACCAGCCTCAGCTCCTCATCAAAGCCCCCATTCCGTCACAGCCCGTATTATCCTCCTCCCGGGTTATCCACTCCACTGTCTCACACCCACTCCACGTCGTCCTCCCGTCTCGTGCGACGTGTCGTGGTTCGAGGTGGGCGTTGAGGCTGTTTCTTGGCTGCCTTGACTGGCTAGGAGGGCTTAGCATTATATTTCATAAATAAAGCCAAGTGAAGCAAAGAATGCATCACAAAATCCAAGTGCTCGTTCAAATGCTCAATCAAGTGTCAAGCTACCTTGGGTGCGGGTGCTGCAGCGGGTGCAACTACTTTCTTTCTCGGCTGTGTGGCCAGACCCTTCTTCAGCAGCAGAGGTATGACGTCCGTCGCTTTGTTCCGGCTGATTGTCTTTCGGCAGACGGGACACTGGGAGCGCTTCGTTTCGTGGGGCCCGGTGCGGTTCTCGCCAGCGATGAGGGCTTCCATGAGGCAGGTGTGGCAGAAGAGGTGGCCTGAACAATTAGTGATACACTTGAGATAGCATGTATTGTACTCACCACATGCAGTGGCTGTGAGATCTGTGGGGTTGTCCATGCAGATGACGCAGTTAAACGAGTTGAAGGTGGTGACGGTCTCCTCTGGCTTTGCCTGCGCCTTGACAGCATCCTCGCGTTGCTTCTGCAGAGCCTCTTGCAGCGGCGTCTTCTGCTCCGTCAGGTCGAGCTCTTCAATCTTCTCGGGCTCGGCGCTCTGCTGCTTGACTTCCGCAGCTGATCCGTCGTCCCGCTTCTGGCGCTTCGCTGAGGGGCCCGGGGTGGGCGACTGCGGCTTCCTCCTCCGCGGTGGTGACTCGGGGGCGCTGGTGAGGTCGACGTAGCCATTTGCGAGGCGGTCAGGGCGTGCGCGTGTGGCGGGCGGCATGTCTCCGGTGAATGGGCTGTAGGGGCGCCAAGCGAAGGGTGAATAGCGGCCGTGGTCGAGGCCGGCTGGATTGAGGATGTGGTCGAAGAAGCCGGTGGAGTAGGGCACGGGCGGGGCGCGGTAGACGTCGTCGAAGTGGTCCTCGTCGGCGGGGGCGCTGTAGTGGCCGAAGAGCTCGCCAAAGTCGAAGGCTTCGGGGGAGTAGTGGTTAGGGGAGTAGTGGTTGTGGTGGTGGCTCTCGGGGGTGTCGAAGTTGTTGTCGTCGAGTGGGTGGGTTATGTCATCGTCGTCCCTGTGAGAGCGGTCGGCCGACATGGTGGCGAGCGCAGGCCGAGGGGGCGGGCAGGTCAGGAAGGGCAACGTGCTCCTTCACCATCTGCGTAGCTGCTGGTCTGGGCATGGTGTCGCAGTCCCGGGGGCTTGGTGACGCAAAAGCAGCGGCCGCTCTTGGGCTCGGGCGTGCTATATCATGCATCGCGTAGGGCTGAGGGGAACTGCACCGCGCCAAGAGTCTGCGGGTGAACTAGACACTGAACATGACGACACCGAATGGCAACCTCAACTACGACGACTCAACCCTCCGACGCCATGCAGTGACCGTCGTATTCCAGTCTGACGATGCGCTGCTCATGTCGCTCCCTTGCCGCCCACGCCGCCCGACCGCGACCCGTCCATGCGCAATCACATTTCAACGCCTCGAAAAGATGTCTCGCCACAGTCCAGTCCACACAATCTCCGGATGCGGACGGTAGCCATGCAAGGGGGAGTTTGAGTGGTGCGACAGCCAATGCGTCTTTGTCAGTTCCCTCGGAAGCCCGCTTCAGTCCCATCGGCGTTCAGCATCTTTCCTCGCACATCCACTCGCAGGTCTTCCCCGGCGCAAGCACCCAACCACCACCCGAACTCGTCGCACTATCGCAGGACCACCTCAGTCGCCATGACTTGCTCGGCAAGAACCAGGACCAGACCCCGCCGGTTGGGTTCGACCTGCCGGAACTGCAAGGGACCAGCCTCGACGAGCACTTTTACAAGCTGGGCATGGACACGGCGGAACCCTACCTGAGCATGGCAAAGAAGCTAGCATGGGCGAATCCTCCCCCGAAGCCAACCAAATGGGTGCGACGGAGCGGCTGGACCAAGTACAACAGCGACGGCACCACCGAGGCCGTGGACGCGCCCGACGAGACGATGCTCACATTCGACACCGAAGTCATGTATAAAGTGACGTCGTTTGCTTGCATGGCATGTGCCGCCAGTCCCACCGCCTGGTATGCGTGGTTATCGCCATGGCTGCTGGGCGAGACTAAGTCAGATCGCCACCTCATCCCACTGGGCGACACCTCGATACCCCGCGTCGTTGTCGGACACAACATTGGATACGACAGGGCTAGGATAGCGGAAGAGTACAATATCGCGCAATCGAAAAACGCCTTTGTCGATACCATGTCCCTCCATGTAGCATCCAACGGCATGTGCTCGCGCCAACGCCCATCGTGGATGAAGAACAGGAAGGATCAGGAGAAGCAAGACAAGGCAGCCACGGACGAGGAGAACGCAGGTCTTTCCACGGTCTTGGCTCCTCCGACTGAAGAAGAGCTGTGGATGGGAAGGAGCGCCATCAACTCACTACGGGATGTGGCCAAGTTCCATTGCAACATCACACTCGACAAGGCGCAGAGGGAGTACTTTGGTGAGAAAGACCGTGCTGGTGTCACTGATATGCTGGAAGACCTGCTTTCCTACTGTGCTGCTGATGTAGAAATCACCCATCGTGTGTATCAAAAGGTCTTCCCGCTGTTCCTCGAGACATGTCCTCATCCTGTTAGTTTTGCCGCATTGCGATTCCTGGCTGCCGAGATTCTTCCTGTGAACGAGACGTGGGATGCGTATATCAACAACGCCGAAGCGACATATAAGCAGCTCGACGATGCTGTGAAGGAGCGGCTGGTGGCGTTGACAGAGAAGGCGTTGGAGGTCAAGGATCATCCGGAGGTGTATGAGAACGACCCATGGCTGAGTCAGTTGGACTGGTCTGGTCAGGAGGTGAAGATGGTCAAGGGGAAGAAGAAAGGCGACCCACCCAGGCCAGCAGCCCGCCAGAAGAAGCCTGGTATGCCAAAGTGGTACAAAGATCTCTTTGCCAAGAACGATGCCCCGATGGCTCTCACGGTCCGCACACGCATCACGCCGATTCTGTTGAAGCTGGCATGGGATGGAAACCCTCTGGTGTGGTCGGACGTACACGGATGGACGTACAAGGTTCCTGTGGACGAGGCCTTTGCCTACGACGACAAGGGTTTGAAGGTCTTGGACATGTCTGGGGAAGAGAATCTGAAGCTTCGGGATGACAGCGAGTATGTCTACTACAAGATCCCACACAAGGACGGACCGCTCGCGAGGTGCGCCAATCCACTCGCCAAGGGCTATCTGCAGTATTTCGAGAAAGGGAAGTTGGGGTCGGAGTATGCGTACGCCAAGGAAGCACTGGAGATGAACGCATCTTGTTCGTATTGGATCAGCGCGAGGGAGAGAATTACGAATCAGATGGTCGTCTACAACAAGGAAGTGCCTAATCCACCAAAGCTGGTATCTGCATCTGGCAAGGGCGCGGGGAAGAAGGTCGGCTTCATCCTTCCACAGATCATACCAATGGGCACCGTCACACGGAGATCGGTCGAGAATACCTGGCTCACGGCTAGCAACGCGAAGAAGAATCGCGTCGGGTCGGAGCTGAAGTCAATGGTACGAGCCCCTCAAGGATACTGCTTCGTCGGAGCCGATGTCGACTCGCAGGAGCTGTGGATTGCCAGCTTGATCGGCGACGCGACGTTCAAACTGCACGGAGGCAACGCTGTCGGCTTCATGACGCTGGAGGGTACCAAGGCAGCAGGGACGGACTTGCACTCTCGGACCGCTGCCATCCTGGGCATATCGCGTAACGACGCCAAAGTCTTCAACTATGGCCGTATCTACGGCGCAGGACTGAAGTTTGCGTCTACACTCCTCCGCCAGTTCAACCCTTCCTTATCAGACGAGCAGACCTCCAAAACAGCAGACGACCTCTACAAGAACACGAAAGGAAAGAAGACGATCCGGAAACAACTCCACGAACGAGCCTTTTGGCGCGGCGGTACTGAGTCCTTCGTGTTCAATAAGTTGGAAGACTTTGCTGAGCAGGAACGCCCCCGTACACCCGTCCTCGGCGCTGCCATCACCGAAGCCCTGCAACGGCGGTATCTATCAAAGGGCGGGTTCATGACCAGTCGAATCAATTGGGCGATCCAATCTTCTGGTGTTGATTACCTCCACCTCCTCATTGTATCAATGGACTACCTCACCCGCCGATATGGTCTCGACGCTCGCCTCGCGATTACCGTCCACGATGAGATCCGGTACCTCGTCAAAGAAGAAGACAGATACAAAGCGGCAATGGCGCTGCAGGTAGCCAATGTCTGGACTCGCGCAATGTTCAGTCAACAAATGGGGATTAATGAGCTACCGCAATCCTGCGCCTACTTCTCCGCCGTCGACATCGATCACGTCTTGCGGAAGGAAGTAGACATGGACTGCATCACGCCGAGCAACAAGGAGAAGATTCCGCATGGTGAGAGTCTGGATATCATGGCGCTGTTGGAGAAGGGCGAGGAAGCGCGACTTGATCCCGCTTTCGTGCCCAGCGAAGCCGACATGCCAACACCACAGAAGTACACTCACGCTTTCACCCCTCGCACTCCTATCATGACGACTCTCTCACGGGGAGATGCAGTCGGCGACCCAACAGCACTGGCGTATCTCAAAGCGCAAATCTCCTCCTCCGACCAGGAGTTGCGCGACATCTTGAAACCGCTACGTGCGACGCCAGCACCGCGCAGCAGTGCCAGCAAGACAAAGAGCAAGAGTGGAAGTACGGCGGGCAACGAAGTATCAGACATCGAACAAGAGAATCGCGAGATCCAGAAGGAGATCAAGCAGTTTGAAAAAATGACCAAGCAATCGAGCGCTCATGACCCGTGGCGCGAGGTGTACAAGCGCGCGAATGCGAGCACGAAAGCTAAGGGCAAAGCTGGCACTGGAAGCGAGTGGTGGCCGAACGGTGGTTATGGTTATGGGCAGCATCCGAGGAGTTCGGTGAGGAGTGCGAGGGTTTAAAATGGAGTGAATGCGCGAGATGAGATATGTTTCTTGTATGTTTCTTGTAAGATGTATGTACGGCAAAACTTCATGTACGGGTTGGGTATTACGGCTATCATGGGCGGATGGGCGGCGCGACGCATTGGTTATTTGCATAGGTCCGGCGCATCGTTCCTTCCACAAATGGATTTTTGATTTGGCGTTCTTCCGATTTCGTCCCTGTTCCGCAGTCACGGGGTCTAGCAGGGTATAAATACCCGTCTTCCACCGCTCTTCTCTTACTCTTCTTCATCACACCTTCCATTCTTTGTTTTTCAAAAGCGATCCATTCAACGCGACATGAGTTCGCCGGTCTGGCTTTTCTAAAAACATGGACGAAATAGGACATGTGCCCGCCTTCCTTTCCGGTTTCGACATGGACGCCGAAAACCAGACATGAATGCTTTCATGGTTCCTGTTTCTGGTCTTTCCCAAAACTCTACGTTTTCGAAGTGATGTGTCCGCCTGCTCGCGTGCTCTCAACCTCCAAAACTTTCGGCCTGACGACGACATGACTTCATTCGCCTGTCGTTTCGAAAGGTAGAGGAAGGCTAGGAGTATGCTGGTATCAACTCGCGCTTTCAATGTCAATATTAAGATGTCTTTCGAGGTACACATGCATAGCTGGAAATTCAAAACCGCCGCGGAACACTTCCATGTGTGCGCCTCGGCCTGCAGTGCGAATACTTCAAAAAGCCATCACTACCGTTGTATGTTCCATGTTGCTTTACTAGCGAAAGCGCGTTGCACGAAAAGTCGATGTGGTAGTCTTGGCTAATGCCTACAAAACCCATGTCGTCGTCGCGATGTGGCACTGGCTCTTGTTGAGGGCCCTATAAAAGTCACACAATGCGTGGATTATAGTTCTACACTTCTTTTCTCCTCTACAAACCACCGAAATTTCCTAACGACACTTTCATGGAGCTGTTGGTGCTCGTTCTTCTCCAAAACTTCCGAATGGGCTTCTTATGTTCTTCGCGCCGTCCGCCGCGGCAAGCGCAGCGCAACATGGAATCACCTGAGTTGATTTTGAAGTAGCTTGTTCCAAGACACCCTATACATTCCTCGCAGCGCACGAAGAATGCCATTAGTTCTCTCCTCAACTTGCAAAAACGCCAAAAACAACAAGATCAAAATTTCATGAAGTTGGCGTCCTTCTCTCGGTCTCCAAAACGTGGTCTTCGACCGTCTTGTGCGTGTGCAACTCCGAAAACTCCATCATATCCACCAGGATTTCAATACTCTCAAAAGCTGTTCTCAATGGCAACATGGAGATTGCTCCTCGTGTGCGGCCTTCCTTCGTCTCCTGCGGCACATCTCGTATATCTAAACAGCGCTACAAACTCAGTATAGCACTCCGCCTCGATGATTCCCCAACTACATGTATAAACTGACCAGAGATTCCGAGACTGTTACAACATCTTCCACACTTGATGGATATTCAAACTCGACTGTGGTCATTACTATGAGCCGGCTTCGCGCGGTCTTCCAAAAAACAGTTCTCGACTTTCTATGATGGCGACTCTCTGCACGTCTCGTAGTATTCTTTCGATATCCAAATGACATCGTAATGGCATTATGGCGTTCCGCTATCAAAACCTTCAGTTTCTCGTCGCCATGTGAGAGACAAACACCCAGTTATCCCCGCACTTCGGGAGTGATTACCAAAAGCTGTCGAACAGAACGTGATGGGTGTGTTCCTCCTGTCTCTGTCTCTCAAAACATGAGCGAGACCCTTTGATGTGCCTGGGCCACTCATTTGAGGCCTTCATAACATCAAAAGATCTTCTCGACCCTCCGATGGCGTCTTCCCGCTGAGCTATCTATTCTTTCCACAATAAAAAGCACGAGTACATCTATAATCTCGCATTGTATGGAGAATTACCGAAGTTAGAAGCCAAAGAAGTCATGGAGTTGGGTCTCTTGTGTGGGCCCTTTCAAACATGCCGAAGCAGCTTTCCATGTTGCAAGACTCTCTCGTATCACCGTATACTCTCAGATCGCCACAATAAATAGTCATGCAGCGCGAAGCCTTAGCCATTTGAAGCGGTCGACTATTCTCGGTTGCGGGTGACGACGACAGCGCAGATTCCGGGAAGCCGGCGGTTGTACGAGATGAGATGAACACAAGCAGAGTAGCGGGACCCTCCTGCCCTTTCACTCAATGATGTCACGGGTTCCGAAAATCTCTTCGCGCGCCTGCCTGGACGCGTGCAATCGCTAGCGTGACTACCACGATTGTTTGTTGTTAGCACCTTCCTGGCTATTACTCCCTCGCCTGCGCCGTCTGCTTCCCGTCACACACTTCTATCGCCCATCTGGTCGCCGACCACGACGCAAGGATAAAGATGAGCGCCGCATTCGAAATACCCTTTGGCGAGTGGGAAGAGAGGGCCCAAGAACATGTGAGAACTCCGCAATCGAGCTGTGTGGGAAAGGAACTGACACGGTACGCTCACTTAGGTTGATCACTCCAAGTACTCCAAGCTCGCCTTGAGTCTCGACGAATATGGATGGCTGCCTCTGATCCGAGCCACGTACCATGACGAGAACCTCACCAACAACTGGTACATCAAGAAATGCTCTCTCGAGCACTGGATCATGTACTGCGACGAAATCTTGCCTACTGTCGAGCCGGCGATACTCAAAGCCATTTGTCGTGGAGACGTGAATGCCGCGGTCAAGGGCAATGCCGACCTACGCAAGATGCTGCAAGTGTACGAGGAACGTCCCGAAGGCATGCACGCCATCTACCTGCGAAAGATGACAGTCGGTATCAACGAAGAGGCACTTCTCATCGATGAAGCGCGCCGTCTTGCTTCGATCGCCATGCAGTACGCGAATCAAGATAGCTCTGACACCGCCGCGGACGAGGCGTATGCGATCGACAAGGTGGCTTGCGAGGGCGCCTGGCATATCCGTTACACCATCAGTGGACGGCGTCATTTCATCGAGGGCAGCAATGGCGACGTCGACCCTGCAAAGAAGCGTGTGCTACAAGGCTTTTCCCGCGCTCTCACTCGTCTTGCAGACCAGGCTGAAAAGGAGAACAAGACACACATCCCCTTCCTCCAGGACGTCGGCTACGCAACCAAAGGCTCAAAGGATGAGCGGAAATATGGGAACGGTCGATCAGGTACAAGCTGGCTGTTATTGTTGACCAAATACATTCTCGAGAGCTGGAAAGACATCTCTACTGTGAAGATGCACCACTTCACTATCGCTCTCATCGTCGACGTTTCTTTAGGTCCTGTTGGCCAGATGCTACTTAGTCGCCTCGCCCGCGCGTACTACTTCGCTGGCGGCTTTACGATCAGCCAAGCCGGTGCCAGTACGTCAATCCTGGAATTGCTTTACCGATCTGAAGTCGAGCGTCAAGAGATGTTCAAATACATTCGACTTCAATTAAGCAAAGACCGCATTGATGTCGAGCAGTGAGAGTAGCATCCTCCCGAGCACCTTGGGCGACTCAGGCAGTTTGAGAAATGTGTGGAGGACAAGACGAAGGAAGCCGCGGGGCTGGTCTAATCACTGTTTTGCGTTGTCCATGATGTCGGTGCGGGAGCTAACGGGTGTACTTACACGCTTAATAGTGTTACAAGCATTTAGCGTTTCTAATAAACCGCACTACTTTTTAGTATAATATAGTGTACGTTATACGTTAGCCTATATATATAAAAGTACTTAGAGACTTATACTATAACTATATATAGTAATAGTAAAGAAGTTATAGTATAGTATATAACTTAGAGTTATTAAAGTTAGCCTATAAAGCTAAAAAAAGTCTATACTAATAATTTATTAGTATTATAAGTAGCGTAAGTACTATTAAAGCTATTAGAGGTACTTATAGTAAGTGTTATAGCTATATAGATTATCTATATATCTATAAATATTTACTTCTTAGAACTACGCTAGTCTTCTTTAGATAGTATAATATATAAAAGTACTTAGAGGCTATACTATAGTACTAATTATATTATATATATAACTATATATATAGCTCTAAGAATTAGGCTATATATATCTCTAAGTACTTCTAAAAGACTATACTATAGTTTATTAGAAACGCTGTAAGTATTTTACAGCTACTTATAAAGATAGATAAATAATACTTCTAGGTATAGAAGTTACTATAATGCTCTACTACCTAAAACTATAGTAAAACAAACTAACCTTTTCTTTCTAACATTCTCTTTTAACAACTATAAGAGCTATCTAAAGATTCTTACACGTCTTTTCTTCTATATTCCTCTTATAAAGTACATTAATTCTAAGCTAATATTATTCTGCTTCTATATTAAGACTTTTAGCGATCGCGAAAATGAAGATACCTTATCGCTATCTAAGAATACACATCTGCCGAAGTGGTATCTGCAACCGGCCTTTTGTCTCTTTCACTCAGCAAGAAGAAGCTTGGAGGATATGAAGAGCGCGAAAAACTCTTCGCGCACCTGCCTAGACATGGATAGTCGACATCCCAACAACCCTGTCTTTACACTTCTTCTCCGCATCTTGATCTACATCTCTCTGCGCTTGACCAACCACCCAACATCTCCAAAGATAATGGCGGAACGCACGAACACCGCCGAATTCGACGCATATGTGGGGACGCTTCCCACACACATGAGGGACCCGGTCAGGCTAGAGCTCCTCGCCCTTGCGCAGCCTTACCAACCTACAGTCGCCGAGAAGAAGGAAGAGGTAAGTTCTAACTGTGCGAAATGCATCTGAGACAAACACTGATTTCGTACCTCTACCTCTGCAGGCGGAGCTCGACAGGAAACTTGCCTTCTTCGACGCTTACGCTGAGAAGGACGCCCAGGCCAAGGAGGACAACGCTCTTATCCTCGAATCCCTCAAATTTATGGAGCATCTCAAGGAAATGGAGGACAAGCACGCCGCAGACCTAAAGACAGCTCTGGAGAAGCAGAAGCAGGAGCTCGAGAGCAAACATGAGGCTGAACTGCATGAAGTGCAGATCAAATAAGTGATAACAAAGATCAGTTTCGGAAACCTACTAATAGTGTCGCAGATGCACCGAACAGCTCGCCAACGAGAAGACTGTCGCTGGATCTCGATACGATCGCATGGTGGCGCGACTGGCTGGCTGGTTCTGTATTGGTACTCGGCGATAGATTGTCTGCGAAGTCTGGAACAGGTAATGCGCTTTGATCGTTCATCGTCATACCTGAAGGTGCGCTATCTGAGACAAGACACTAAGGCTCTCGTTGATGGAAGATACCCCGTGGGAAGGAATGTTTCCCTTCGGGAAGGCGAGGACGTAGCTTATAGTGGATACAAAAGTCTACACCAGCAGTTTGAAGAGACATAATTGAGTGTCGTAGGACCCCGACGTGAAAACACTACAATTGCTATTGAATCGAAAGGGTTCTGAGAAGTTCTTCGCGTCCTTGCCCGTAGTCACTAGCGTGGTTGCCACGAGTGTTGACCGTTGGCCGCTTCCTCGCACACACCTCACGTCTCTCATCATCCCCCAAGTTTTCGCTCACGTCGCCCACCCCATCGCGTACCGAAGCGCAGGATCTACAATGACGGATCCCAATGACGGCGAGCTGCGCCGTTTACTGGAGGACGCCCTCAAGGTGTTCGACAATGTCAAGCCGACTACGGGCTCTGACGTGAAGACGATGCTCTCGACGTACCTCGAGGCTGTCACTGCCAGGCAAACCGGTGTCGACGAAGAGAAGAAGCGTATGTGCGAGAGCCTGATACACGCTTCGAAGGCGCTTCACATCCCGATCAATACAGACACCCCCGCCACCGAACAACTGAACACGGTCGTCCAGGGCGTTACCGCTGCTTTCGAAGCTCGCGACACGGCGAATTACGCCGTCATGAACGCTCTGGTATTGAACGCGGCTCCTTTCCAGGTCCAGATCAACCAGAGCCTCGCGCCTGCTGAATACGCCAAAGAGGTTCTTACCGATGTATCCACCAAGCATACCGCGGCGCTTGCGAAGATCGAAGAATTCGAGAAGAGAGTGGAAGTCATGGCGGCTGCTCTGGGATTCAAACTGACCAAGGCACCTGGACGTGAGCAAGTTAAAGAGATTACCAATCACGTCAAGAGGTCTCAAGAGAAGAAAGAGCAGGAACTCGTACAGTGGGAGAGCCAGGTGACCCCGGCGGTGAATCTTGCAGCCACCCAACTAGGGGTTCAGTTGCCAGTTCACGGCATTGCCGGGCTGGTCCAGGAACTTGGCGAAAAAGCTCAAGCCTGCTTCAAGGACACTACTGAACACCAAAAGGATATGTTTGACAGCCTCTTGATAGAAGCTATCGGGATTGTCGAACACTCAATCGGTGGCTATACCGTCGATGAACTCAGTGTTGCCCTTCCAGTTCTCTCCGGCGACGCGGCTTCGACTCTTCGATGGAGTGAGCAAGAGAAGAAGCGAATCACACAAGCGACTGAAAAGCGTGACGCAGATTTTCAGACGAGAAAGGTTGAGAGCGAGCAGATACTGCGGGATATGATTCAGAGATCGTACAAGATCCTTTATCCACATGCCAATTCACTCCCAACGCTCACTCCGAAGCATACCAGCCAGCAACTCATAGAGTGGACGACTGAGATTCATGGCTTATTCCAGGCCCAACTTCATGAACCGATCGAGGCGGACGTGGACCTAATAGACGCGCGAACGGACACCTTGATCCTTCTACGGGCCAGCCTGTACACGTTTGTAAAGAATGCGTTCGCTGCAGCGCATCTTCCTACTGCCGATGAAGACTGGCCTGCCACTTACGAGGAAGACGATCTGGTCATCGCCGTGGATGCTGAGCATTTTGTCGCTGAGCGTCTGGAAGTTCTGCAGAAAGCGCTAGACGCGCAGCGCGAAACTGACAAGAAGAGCAACGCTGCTCAACTCAAGCTGCTGGCTGCCGAGATCGATCACATCACATGTCTCGTCTGCCGTTGTACCACTGTGCAAGATCCGATGTACAAGTTCACAGCCGTCGATCCTTGAACCTCCGAGGAAGCACTGTTGCAGCGGCGTAGAGATTTCGAAGACTGGTTCAAAGAGGAATTCGCAGAGCACCAGCTCGCGATCAAAGAGTCTACCGAGGAGGACCTGCACTTCAGCTACGGGCGGCTCCTCCGGTGGGTGGGCGGCAGGGTATTCGACCGCTTCCGCCGCTTCCAGTCGCTACTACATAAAGAGGACAAGCTTGAGACGTTTCTCTTTGACGCGACATACTTGTCGTACGACGTGAACACGAAGAACGCCACGACCATGGCAGACTGGCTCATCGAGAAAGGTGAGAACCTCGAGGACGTCATCAAGGAGCGATCGTCCGATGCGATGGAAGCCCAGCAGCAGGTTGTACATCTCCGTGGTGTTCTTGGAGACGCGCGTGACTATTACACTACCCTGGAGAAGGCTATCGACGCGTCGTACGTCGTGGTCCTCGCGAGGGAGGAGGAAATCGCCAAGCTCAAGCAGCTCCAGGCTCCTCCGGGATAGGTTCGCTCACGCAGGAACACACTTCCACCCCGTACAAGAAGAAACGACTGACCACCCTGGAGTCTATGTTGGCGTTGGGCCACGCACTTTGCAAGCTTTTGCCTTGATGTAGTCTGCAGATCTGTTCAGTTTTCTTCTTGTTTGAGGGGCGTCGGTAGTTCACACATGGAGGCAAGGGGTATTTCACGTAGCAATGCAAGATATTCACTCACGATGAGATGGAGGTAGTTCATGGTATACAAAAAGCTAGACTTTGAAGTTCGTAGCAACAATCAAGAGTCAAGCACATATGTGAGCGATGCGTAATGAACGACTAACAGTGTGATCTCGAATATACTCAATAGCACTGGCAAATGATATTACAACCGGTGATATTCGTAATTATCAAGAGGGCGCAGAACTGGTTTCAGGCAGGATGATGTCGTGGAACACGGCAAGCAATGCAGAGAAATCGAACAGGACATAGAAGCGATGTACGACATGACTTCCATATCCCAGTTTGGCGTGATACACTATTGCGACAAGAAAGTGTGACATACGTGGGAAACATTATCTTTGGACACAGGCGCAAGAGAAGCAGGCCTTTGGTAGGTGAAGAAAGAGATGATAGAGACAGCGAGACTGTTGCTATACGCATCTGACGTTTCGAAACACCTCCCACGAGATAAGAGAAGTGGTAAAACACGCGGTTGCTGTTCTGTGTCAGGACGTCACATCTGGAAATACAAGTATGTTAGAAGGGACGCAAACATCAGCTGTAGATGGTGACGACGACGTCAACGTTTGTTGCATCCAGAACGCTCTGCGTAACGAGCTTTACCGTCGACATATTTTTCTTTCCCCAAGATAACGACAAGATCCGGCTGATGTAGTTCCTTCGATAGCCTGCGAGAGTATAAAACTTTCGCTCTCAGTGCGACGTTCTCTCTTCACCTCCACAGCAAATCTTCTTTTTGCAAAAGGCGCAGTGCGTATCGGACATGTTTCTGCCTTCCGCGCCTTCGTCTCCATGTCCAATTTGACTCAAAAGTTCCAACGTGTACTAAATGTGCGAAGCACGACGTGGAGCCTGTACAAAACGCTTCAGTCAAAAGACATGTCTTCGTTGCGTAAGCTCAGATACTTACATCAAAGTTCGCATCCTGCCAAAGTCATGGCAGTACCGCCCAAGCTTGCGAATATATAAAGCACACGCGATTCTCTCTAAGTCTCCCTCTTACACATACAACGTCTACCTTTTAACCAAAAAATCGCAAAACAACACACTATGTCTGCGTTCTCCGCGCCTTGCTCGCAAATCTAGGAGGACCAAAAGCACCAAACTTACACATAATGTAGTAACGCAGGCCTTAGGGTTTTGTTCAAAATCGACTAGCAATGCTTCGTGCCTTCGTTGCGTGCTCTCGCGATTGCTTTCTCAAAAACGCAACAGGCATGTGTATGACAGCGCTGCTCGGGAGTGCGGGTATATAAACTCAACGCCATCTTCACTCCCTCTCTACTCACCCACACAAGGTGTCCCGTTTCACCAAAAACCACAGTGAAACATTACCATGTCTGGTCCTTTGCGGCTTTGTCGCAAGCCTGACTCTACCAAAAAAAACAGACCACCAGTTGCATGTGGCCGAGTAGAGCCTCGGCTCTTGTTTAAAGTACACACGTTGTGATACATGGCGTTTGGAAACGCTTCCCAGCTCTTGGTGTCAGATATGGACGAGTTGGTTTCATAGCGGTGCTGCCCAGGACTGTGGCTATATAAACTTCGCTCATTGCCGGTTCTTCATGCCTTCATCACTTCATGCCCGGGTTTCTAAAGTGCATTCCCCGAAAAAGGTGGTCGTTCAATTCATGTCCTGCGCCGGCCTCCTGTCTCTTTCTACTGCGTCTCGAAACGACAAACGAGGAGGAACATGGTGTTTTTTGGTTTGAAAACTATAATTTTTCGACACTATGATCGAGCACTGCACGTTCTGACGCACTGCGTTTTCACAAAACCAAAATGCTTGACTGAGCCATGGATGTGCGGTTCTTTTTCCGCGGCACTTCTCGTAATCGAAGATGGTGGAAGAAACTTGGTAGTTTCATTTGCCTTCAAAGCGAAGTCCAAGCAAGTGATGCGCAAAGGTTCTGACCAAAAGAACATGTCCAGTGCGATGTGGCAGCAAAACGCCGATAGCGAGCGACCAAAATGACATCGGGCGACGGTCATGAGCTGGGTGTGCGAGCGCAAAGGCGACTCGGTGCAGACAACGGCGGTGCGCCTTCTGAAACAATCTCCAAAAGGAAGGTTCGAGGATGTTATGCGTGCGTGTGGTGAAGGTGATTTCGTCACATCGGAAAATGCGCAGTGCTCGAAATTATCACGATGAGGTTGATGTGAAGAAAGAGCCCTGAAGCCCATATTGCATTGATGCGCAAAGTCGAACGCCGTCGACCATTATTCACGTCCCTGGCCGCAGCCCCAGAGATAACCCAGACATATCCATGCCATGCCAGCATCCAACCCAACCAAAAAGAAACAAAGACACGATCTATATGCCGCAACCAAACACGCGCACGCAAATGCCATGCTATGTTACACGCGGTCTATACGTCTATGCCAAACAGCACTAGCGTGTATAGGTAATGACCGTCATCGTCGGACCGATCGCTCGTCGACGAAGAAGAGGAAGAAGGTGTCGGGGGTATCGCAGAAGTGTGTAATTCGTCAAACATCGTCTAAACGATGAGCAGCTTCTCAACGTTCTCGCCCGCGCTGCGCTCGCTCATGCGGTTCCACGCGGCGTAGGTGAGGACACCGCAGGCGGCCCACATGACGGGGACGGCGGCTTCGGCACCGGCTGAAACACACGTTAGTACGGTGACTTCGTTTTTGATGCTTCCTTTTCATGACGTACTTGGGCGCTCGGCCTGTGCAGCCATCTCCATGACGCGGGCTGCGCTGCTGGTTGAGCTGGAGGAGTTGGCGCGGATGGTGGCGGGTGCGATGCGCTTGCCGGCGAAGGCAGCGGTTATGGGGACGCGGGTGGCGATGCGTGCGAACATGTTGTTGATTTGAGTTGTTGAAGTTTGAGGATGTATTATCGAGGGAACAGGGGTTATGTAGCGACAAGTGGCGACTTGAGTAATCTCTGTGATGACACGTATAAACAAACGATAGTCGTCGTCGTCGTCAAGTAAGTCCTCTTGAATGATAGTGAACGTGCGTATTGGTAGGTGCAGTTTGAGTGAATCCGGGGAAAGAGGACACAGACACGGAACACGGTTTATATAAAGAAAGTGGGCCTGGGGAAAGAGTTGACAGGGCTGAAGGGAAAGGAGGCGAGGCCGGAGATGGCGCGAGCAGAAAATTTAGGGGCGGTGAGCGATCCGTGCAGGGATGTGCCAGGTCGAGATAGGCTTGGCCGCCAGCACGTGAGTGGGTCCGGTGCGGAAATAGCAAAGCGAGAGTCTGGGGTAGCTGTCACTTTTGAGGAAGTCACGGCCCTTGCATCACGCGGGCTGAGCTCATGGTGAGAAGTCTTGAAGATGATGCATTCGATGTATTGAGACTGAATGCGACCGACGATGAGGCTCTCCGAGTTCCGTCCGGCTCTATCTCGCAAAGAGCCGCAGAGACCCTGCTTTGAGATCGGCACTGCGGCGCATCCCCGGCCTTCTAGACGAATCTACCGAGAATTAACCTGCCCTCGCCACCCCCAGTCTCAACAACAACTCAACAACAATTCTAGCGTACACTGTTCCTTCCCATTCACTTCAATAGATTCGTCTTCGCCGTGCAGTCATCACGTTCCGCTGTAATACATACGAAGGCCGGCAATTCCGGGTCGTCACTAACAACAAGTTCATCGGAATCTATCCACACTGATCTACAAACTTACTTCCACACGCGATACCGAGCGACGGCCGTCAAATCACACTATGCGTACACACAGTGCCCATCACCTACTTCTCATTACCATTAGGAAGATGCGACAAGCCTCCGCTCACACATTCTTCCATAAGAAGTCTTCAACCTTCTTCCCTTCGCACGCCTTCATGATGACCTCTCGCATGGTTACGACTGAGGGTTTATCACGGATGTTATAATCCCACTGCTTACCGTCGGCGGGTGTCCTAGCAACGACATCGTACATGGCAAGGCGAACACATGCCATCGCCGAAGGGATACTGACATCCAGCGATTCAATCACTTCAACCAATTCGGGAGTATCATGGAGCTGCGGCGGCCATACGGCATATCCGGCTTCTTCGAAACGAGCAGCAACCTCGAGCATTATCTTTGTGCAAAGATCTAAGACTGCAAAGCAGTTCACCCGGGCTATTGGGAAGGTGCCTTTGTACTCCGGCTGGATCACGTCCTGTGCACGACGAATAAGCCCCGATGGCGGGAAGCTAAGGAAAATGTCGTTGTAGTTCAGGCCCCTATGAATCTTGCGATCCATCTTAGGATCGCCCGTGAGTTTGACCCAAAGTTCTGGACTGGGCGCGTAGAGGCTGATGAGGCTGTCCCATGCCGAACTGCCCATCGTATCCATAGAGATCCGCTGGCTTGCACAAGCAGCATGGCGAGGTTCTTTCCTTGGGGCTGCTATGAGCATCGTGTGCGGTGTGATCGTTTGCTTGAAGATCTTCGCTCCACAAAACAGCTCGAAGATGTTGCAAAAGTTCCTCTTTGGGTATTGCTTTCCTGCGAATACGACATCCTTAAAAAGCGTGCGGAGATGTTCGAGGATCGGAATCTCGGGACAACCGCCAATCTGTCGTAACATATTGTAGAGATGCATCGTCGCACCAAAGATTTCCTGCTCGTTGAGGATTTGAAGGCCGACGAAGAGCGTGATATCCGATATTGCGGACATGTAACTTCCCATGACCCACGGAGATTGCGAATAAAGGTCGAACGTCTTGTCAGATGTGAACTTGACCATCTTCTCCCTAAGCATCCAGACGATGGCGGCCGTGTCATCGTGGTAGAGCTTTACTGAACTCTGTGCGTA